AATCTTTTCATGATAGGTGTGAAGTGTGAAAATTGTATCTGAGAAGAACCAAACAGCCTTGCTGAGACCTCTGGACTAAAACTAGCCATAACCAGTTTAAAATTGGAGTCATTGATTTAAATTTAAAATTGGAGTCATTGATTAATCAAAAATCTAATTATTACCAAGTCCATTTTATTGTTCAGTCATACATCAGTAGGATATATGGAGCTCATGCTGTTTGTGTTGTGACTGTCATACTTTACATGAGAAGTTGACAATGTTTGCCTTTTCTCTGATATATTTATCATCTGGTTTGAAATGTATGGTACATAGGCATTAGTTTTAAAGTGGATTGACTTATTTCTGGATTTCTTCTACATTAGAGTTGTGCAAAACAATTCAAACTTGAAATACTGTGTCCCCATACTAGGTATTTTGAGATTAATGCATCTTAGAAGGTTTTGTACACCTTTAACATGCATCTCATCCTTGGTGCTTCAATCCGAAGCCAACCAATAAAATGGAAGATGAGTTACTTTTAATTGGATAGGACGAATGATTACATTGATCTTCTAAGCATGAAACTGAGAAATGGTGAGTTCTGTTAAAAGGAGATGAAGGCCACTTATATTTTGGAGAAAAGATTTGGGATTTTAAGTCCAACAGATGAAGATAGATATTCATTAATACTTATTATTTTTAGATGTTTTATGCCACCTTTATTATTTTTATAAATAACTCAATATGGTGAACAAAGCTAATACTTCTTCTTTAAATTTACATCTGGTTTTTGTCTCTATTGCCTTTTTTTTTGTCTTGTTGGTTTGTTCCCTGTATTTGTACTATGGGTTATATATCAATTTAAATAGACCGCTCCATTAAAAGATGCCACAACTGTTCCAACTGCATACTAGTCTGCCATGAGAGAAAAATTAGAATGCACATTTTAGGATGGCCTGAAGGGTCACTTTGGACTGTGGCCAATAGCAATAGCACTTAGACTTATATACCGCTTCATAGTGCTTTGAACCACTCTCCGAGTCAGCATATTGCCCTCAACAATTTGGGTCTTCATTTTACCAACCTGGGAAGGGTGGAAGGCTGAGTCAGCCTTGAGCCGGTCAGAATTGTACTTCTGGTAGTCAGCAGAATTACCTGCAATACTGCATTCTAACCACTGCGCCATCACAGTTCAAAATGCTGCCATGAAAGGAGCATATGGAGGAGACACATATTAACTAGATGGCCATTTGTATTGGTAAAAGCTGCTAATTCGTCCCACTGCTGTTTCAATTAAACTACAGAAGCAGAAATAAAGAAATGTTGTCAAGGAGTCGTCGAGGGAGCTTTTGAATCATGTGCATAAGAGTGGCTTTTTATTATTATTAATGGGCAAAATATTGTAGAGGTCATTTTTTCTTCTTCTTCTATTCAGTCTTGTCCAGTCCCTGCAGTCTTCTTGGCAAGATTTTTCAGAAGGGGTTTGCCATTGCCTCTACCCTAAGGCTGAGAAAGAGGGACTTGGTCTAAGAACAGCCAATTGGCTTTGTGCCTAAGGCAGAACTAGAACTCTTGGTGTCCCAGTTTCTAGTCTGATGCGTTAACCATGACACCAGACCACTAAGCATATGCAAAAGCAATATAAGCATAAATAAGAAATTGAGAAGACCTGCTACACAGTTTGTTTTTTCCAAGCGAGGAGATACTTATACTGTTTTCTTTCTTTAACTTACAGTTTTGCATTTAGTATTTATTCCTATTCCCTGAAATCCAGCTCAATAATTATACTCAATTTCTTTAATATGGCATAAGCCTTTTTCCCTCCACACCCCCTCCTTCAGTCTCAGCCATGCTGAGCAGTCAGCATAAATGCTATTCTGTTGCATTAGTGCCCAAAGGAAATGCTACATCAGCTTTTTCTCTCAATGCCTTCCATCTGGTTTTAGGCACAGAATCAACAAGAGGTCTCATCTTAAGATGAGTCAGCTCTTCAGTTTCCATCACCTCTGTTTTCTCCTCCCCCACCCCCTGCTAGAGGAAACAGAGTTTTATGTGCTCAAAATCATTTGCATTGCATCATAATGATCTAATTCATAGAAGGCTCTACAAAAATTTCCAGCGGCACAAAGGACTCAGTTCCAGGATTGTAAATGCTTGCTCTAGCATAAATTGTCTGTGAGAAAAGATAAGGGCAGCTTATTTTAAAGACGATTGAAATTTTGCACTATAACCTCTCAAGAGGAAAGCAAAAAAGAACAAATCAGTATTTTAATTCTTCTCTTAAAATCTAGTGTTCGTTTTTTTTTAATGCAACGAATGAAAATGGCAATGGAAGCACTGAGAAAATCACATAGCTGGCCTGCTTACAAGTCAGCCTCCCTCCCAATACACAATGAGGAATCATGATAACATTTGCAACACAATCTGTGATGTGGCCACTTAAATACAGATCTCTTGCATTCCTTATAGGAGACATCTTTATGAGAGAAAGATGGCATATATGCAAAGTAGTGCTTTTTCTTTAAGAAAGAACAAGTTGATAAATTAAGCAGATGAATAATATGGCCTATATTATCAAATCATCTCTAACCCATTGGGGATAGACCCGTTCTTCACAGCTGGTTTTTAAAATATAGAATACACATCATTTGAAAGAGCCGTGGTGGTGCAGTGGTTAGAATGCAGTACTTCAGGCTAATTCTGCTGACTGCCGACTGCCAGCAGTTTGACAGTTCGATCCTCACCGGCTCAAGGTTGACTCAGCCTTCCATCCTTCCGAGGTCAGTAAAATGAGGACCCAGATTGTTGGGGGCAATAAGCTGACTCTGTAAACCGCTTAGAGAGACCTGTAAAGCACTGTGATGCAGTATATAAGTCTAGGTGCTATTCCTATTGTTATGTTGCAGTTATGTGTTGTAGTGGTATGTAGAAATTACCTTGGTCGCAGCCAGGGCAATGGTTGGTTAAAAAAGGCAGCTTACCCCACAGCAAGAATGTGGGTGTGGCAAGCCTTTCCTAATTTCTTGGGCTGCAAAGGCAAGGTGGGTGGGTGGGTGGGGAGAAAGAGAAATTCACTTTCAGATTTGCAAGAGTTTGTTAATGTAACCTCACAGTAGAGTTAATTCATCTGAATGTGCTTCTTGTCCGGACTATCTCATGAGTATCAATGTATCAAGTTTAATATTCTACTGATATTGGTGTGGGGAGGGATTCCTTTGAGTCAGTGTTGATTCCTAGAAAAACTGCCTGGATAAAACTTGGTTTTCTTGGCAAGATTTCCTCCCTAGGGCTGTGAGAAAATGACTGGCCCAAGGTCACTATGTTGGCTTTCTGCTTAAATCAAAACTAGAAGTCATGGTCTCTGGTTTTCTAGCCTGATGCTGTAATTATTGCACCAAATTGCTTCCAGTATTTTATTACATTAGAATAATTTATATCAAGTTTAACATTTGATGAAATATATTGTATTCAACATTGGCTTCAGAAATTTAAAATAAGGTGTGATTATAGCTTGGTTATTCTGATGAGGCCTTATAGCAGGGGTATCAAACTCGCGTTGTCACAGCATCACGTGATGTATCGGGACTTTCCTCCCCCCATTTGCTAAATCAGGCATGGGTGTGGCCAGTGCATGACGCATCTGGCTTGTAGGCCTGCGAGTTTGACAGCCCTGCCTTAGAGGCTGGAAGTCTATGATCGTGTTCTCTCTGGCATTAGGGCTTTTTGGAGGGTGGGGGTAGATGATTAAATAACTATAGTTCCTGGTATTATAGATAGATTGTCCAATATTTTATTTTTATTTATTACATTTATAAGCCTAAATTTATATTACTAATTTCCTTTAATTGTATTGTTTTCAGGCAATATGAACATTGAGATTGGAATAGCCTATAAACCCACTTTTTTTTTAAAAAAAAAGAGTGCATATGCACAATTAACTGACGGAAGTGAGAGGCTTACATACTCATTCAGTGCTTTTCTATGTGAGACAAGCAATCCAAGAGAATAACTGATTTTATGTTTGATATATTTAATATTAGGTATGTGCTCCCACTCAGGTTTGATGTCCCCTCCGACCCTTGAGTTGCACCAAAATATTATAGATCGTATGAATTTAAGATGTGTAATGGACTTCATACAAAGATACATCTGACAAATATTACTATTTATTTTTATCTTGCACTGTCTGTTGAAAATCATCTCCTAATGACTCTGTGTGTGTGTGTGTATACAATATACATAGTTGAATTTATATTTACTGACAAAGAAATAAAGGGAGACTAGTATAGATCTATTTCAAACTATTTAGCTCTCATCAGCTAGCCATACCCTTCTGGGATTTGAACCTGGGCTTGCTTGCATATTAGGCAAATGTATTAATCTCTAAGCCACAGGTTCTCCTTGCTTTGTCAGCTTGTATCAGGAGATTGCCAGAAGGCTCCTGGATTGGGGCTGAAAGGCGAAAGGAAGCAGTATGCTCCTTCCCATATTTGGGTAGACCAGGTTGCTTTGATAGAAAACCCATATATATATGTTTCACACCCATACCTCTTTCAAACTTATTGTAAAGATGTAATTGTTAGAGGCAAAAGAATTATTTTACATCCCTAAACATGTTTGAATTTTTCTGCTGTTCTGGAGAAAAGAAATGGCAGTTTGTTTACAAGTTCCTTGATTTTTCCCTTGCTCCCATGATTAAGAAGATACGAGTGAGGTCACTGGGCCATAAAGTGAGATTTTTATCTACTCTGGAGAGGCAGAACCTCAATTTATACCAATTATTGCACTGCTACAGTGCCTGATTGTCTTCACCCTTAGAACCTGAAGTGTGTGTGTGTACTTTTGTAGACAACGGTGAAGATTAAAAGAAAAAAAAATGCCAGTGAAGTTCTGCACTCAATAGACCAGGCAGCCCAGGATTAAAGTTAATTTGGGAGAGGAAGTTAATAGAATAGAAAGAAGTTAATAAGCTTAGATTCAGCATTCTGCACAAGAGAAAAAAAGCCACTTCAAAAGTGTTTGAACATGTAATGAAAAAGCAGAATTTTATTGTCATTTTGTCCATTATTCAGCATTGCTGTAAATGGCTTACATTTACGGCAGCTTCTGTACAGACGTGTGGCTTTGAATTACCAGAACAGCAAAATTTAAAATGAAAATAAATGCTTAACAATTCCACACAAGATTTTACAGTCCAACATTTTTCACTGATTATGTTGAAAGACACTGTTACTACAGTTATTCGGCATGAATAAAAAACTACAACTTTTCTTTTAAGACAGGAGTCACTTGTTTTAATTCTTTTTACACTGTTTAAAATTACTGTGATAAAAATAATGAAAAAGCTTTTTTTTAATTAATGCCATACACCAGCATAATATAGCATTTGTCCCCATTATATATTTTTGTATAATATACAAAATAGAATGTTGACAAACTGTTGAATCCGTGCTATTAACTTTGTTGGTTGGAGTGGGTGGGAGGTGACAATTTTCTTACATGTGGTCTTTTATCAGAAAAGCCTCAAAAGATCCTTAATTTCTTTTTTTAAAAAAACACCCAATATGAGGCTCTGCCTTGCCTGAAAGTATTTTTCAGTGTAACAGCAATAGCATAAAAATGTAGATACACTCAGAACAGCCTAATTCACTTCAGTGTGAACCAGGCAGTAGGTGAGGCTTGCATATGAAAGAGGGTGAAAATTCTGGTCCCTTTCTATAAAATACTCAAGTGCATGCTTCAAATTAAAGTGGCTTGGCCACCAGGGCCTTGCCACCCCTTCTCAAAAATTATTGGTCTTAACCTTACTACACTCAGAGGTATCTCAACAGACTTCGAAGAACCATGAAGAAAGTATATTTCCATCCCTGCTGTTTCAGCTCCATGCATTTAATACAATAAATCTAATATTTTTGTGATCTGATTCTTGTATGTGTGTGTGTGTGTGTGAAAGAGAGAGAGAGAGAGAGGGAGAGAGAGAGGGAGAGAGAGAGAGAGAGAGAAATTTTAAAAGGTTATTAGAGCGATAAGGGCAGAAATGAAGGAAATGCACAATATTTACTTTATGAAACTGCAGTACTAATTAGGCCTACATGTTTTTAAAATGAATGATTCCACATTTGGGTGGCTCTTCAGAACAGAGAGGAAATGAAAATAGTCACTGGTTCAGTTTTGCAAAGGCTTATACACAAGTACAAAAGGAAGGAAGCATGCATGCAGCGGTCTAAAGGGCAATTTCTACAGACTTCTTGGCTTCTACTGTACTTATGCAAGGGGAAAAAAAATCTTTGGACTGTTTCACTTTCCTTTGGCACAAAATAAAAGGAGCACCTTCTGCAGATAAAATGATACTTCTGAATCCAACATTCAGTTTGAAGGAATATGTGCATTTTTCTCTGCAGTTCAAAGTCTTCTGGAAAGTCTACAGGAATTATAAACACAAAATACATGCCTGCACAAGCACTCCTGTATAAAGTCACACAATTTTGTATTTTTGCTGTGTGAAAGCTATTTGATCCAAGTTAGGTCATCAAAGCTCATCCCCTCCCCAGAGTATAGAAGGGTTAAATACCTTGCGTCATAATATGGACTCTATACCACCATTAAGATTTAAGAATTAAGATCCATTAAGATTTAAGAATTAAGATCCAATAAACATTTTGAAACAAATCGTATGATTCTGATGTTTCTAGGCAATGCCCATAACTTCAAATTCTATTCATAGGGATTATAACAACACATCTTGTCTCTCCATTCCCTGACTTATCCTTCTTCCCTGTCCTAATATGAAATTATGAATCTTAGAAGCTCTGTTTTTAAAGGTAGGTTGGCACTTGTTTCCATATTTGTGTTCATTTTATATTTCTCTGATTGCCCCCCCTATCAAATGTACTTTTAGTTTAATCTGATTGGCAAGATTGGCATATTAATCATAAACATTTTCTTAGGAATCACTTCAACAGGTAGTAAAAGTTAAAATAAGGATATTAGCCAAATAAGCTCTTCCTTACTTTAGCATTTCATCTCTCCAATGCCTGAATATATTCTATGAAAGACTATTCCTACCAATGACCTTGCGAAATGTTAGCATACCACATTTATATTTAGTGCTATCCAAATCATTTCCAGGTCAGCATGATGTGGCAAGGCACTGAAGAGACAGAAGTCATAATTTTCCCTGTTTTATTTGCAGTGCTGATTTCCCACAGCACAAAAAAGAATAGCCAAACAAAATCACATTTTGTTAAATGCTTATATATTTAAATGGCTTTTGTTTAAAATCATTTAGCACATTTAAACTGAAATTTTCTAAAATCAGCATTTCTATGTTTAAGAAATTCATAAATTCAACAAATATTTTACATAGAATAAAAGCCTCTTTCCAACCCAGACTTTGTCTTCACACAGACACAGGATACCTCACTTTTGTTGGTAAACCATCATCTCACACACACGTATTTGTTAATCACACATTCCTAGCTTTCTTAAACTTTGCAGTGGGGGTGAAAATATTTAATACATGTATAATTTCTGGTATCCTTGTGTGTTATCCTTCCAGGAGCATTTTTGAAAGTAAATACTGAAACCTGTTAGTGTTAACCAAAAACAGTCAAAATAGATTTTCAATAGTTTGCATACTATTGTTAAAATATTCACTGATGCTTAAGTAAATGGCTAAACATGTAAATGTTTACAAGCTTATTCAGTAGCACAGATTATGTGCCTGTTTCAGGGTATCTTGTAAATTATCACTTGAGCAGTAATACTTGGAACTGCTACATGAATAGCACCTGAAGAGAAAATCATGCAGAATGCTGGCTTTACACAAAATGCTATTCTAACATGTGGTTTCTCTGTGGCTTAGTAGGCTTTGTAAACCCATACAGGGATATCAAGGAAACATGGCTTGGTTTTTCTAGGTGAACCAAGCAAACTCTGGTCTATTCAATAAACCATGGTTAAGCAACTGGTGATGGAGAAAGCTATTTTCCCTGTGCGATAGTCAGAAGAGGATTATGTGAAAGGGGCATCTCTTTTGCTTTCCATTCTGTGGTTTTTGCAACTGCATCTCAGGGCTAGTCAGCTGTTTTGAGAAAATTCACAGCAGCTGTTCACAGCTCCTAACTCTGGAGCTGCACAGATACCATAAAGAAAAATCTTTCCTTTCATTACATTTTCTATTTTACTCCCAAGTATTGAATGCAGCGCTCAGGAGATTTTCATTTATAAGCCTCACATTTTTAAAGAGGATTAAGACAAGAAAAAATTGCTCAGGTAAAATCTCTTGTTTTACAAGGAGCAATTTTGTTGAATAATTAGAAATGTATTTGACTTTGTTCAAACTATGATCTATATTTACATATTGCTGGTACCTATATGCATTTTATTGCAAAATTGGTCTGCTTTGCTTTACTCAATGAAAGAATATTTAAACGTAATCCACACAGGTTGGTGGTGTGAACATATAGGCTAAGGCATACATGAGCCACTAATTCATTTTTTCTTCTTCTGTGTGTTTTGTCTGTGTCTGTGTGTATTTGTGTATGTATGTAGGGCTTTCATAACCCACCCAGATTCTGCAGATTCAATTGGGGAATGTGGGGGAACCAAACACATAGGTTGGATTATCATACTTAATTTCCAACCCTTTTTTTCCTACAATGGTTTAATGGATTTACATTTCTATCCCAGGAGCTTCCATTGAATATGGATAGGTTCATTTAGAACAATAAGGAAAAGTGAAATAACAGAAATACATAATAAAATTAGAGTACCTCTTAGATACTGCAGCACAATGCTGTGAAGACTAATACTTCCAGACAAACCACATTTTTATGGGTTACCATATCAACACATTTGTGACCCCTAGAAAAAATATATGTGTCATGATAAAGCAATCTGTCATCTAAAAACCTTTCTTATGATACACTATACAAGCTATTATACAATAAGTTGATAAACTGCATTTAAAGCTGTATTAGCCCTTCCTTCTTTTTCTTCAAACACTATCAGATTCTATACATTTGAAAGTATTAAACAAAATTGTATTAGTAACATATCATGTTATGATTGTTAATTCTTGTTAAGCACTTATACCTCTTGTTTTATTTTGGCCACTTAAAATATTTTTTGTTTTGTTTTTAACGTTTAGAGTGGCATAGTATTTTAATTTACTGAAAATTCTTAAGGTGCTCGGAGGATGGGCTACTACAGCTTACAAACTGTTTAAAACAACAAGGGAAAAAAATCACAAGACATATATGGTTGTTTTATGGCACACTAGGAGTTTGATAGAGAAGGACTGGAGCTGTACAGAGACCAAGTACTATTCTAAAGCACAAAATCAGCAGTGGAATCTTGGTGTTCTCCAGATTGGTTCACTTGAGCGAGAGAGTGAAAAACGGAAGTGAAGCCTTATACAAATTTGGGGTTTTAATTTTCCATAAAAGTTTTTTTCTTCTTCTTGTAATATGGTCTATTTTCTTTTCTGCATAAAGCTAAAAATCTTATTTGAATTAAAATCTTTTAAGAACCATTAGAAACATATACAGGGTAGAGGTACAATTATTTTGTAAATCCTGGTTTATATATATATATATATATATATATGTATTTATATATAATGTATGTATATGTGTTTGTGTGTGCATGTATGTATATGTATGTGTGTATGTGTGTATATCACCCATACACGCACAGAGAAATGTAGTCATCAATTTCTAACTTAAAATGGAGTCAGGTTTTGTATACATTTGCCTTCAATCCAGTGTGCAATCTAACAACAGAAACTGGCTTTTTTCAGCTTGCTGAACTGCTTTATTGGGAATTAACATAGCTACTGCAAGAATAGGTGGGGTGTAGACTCCTAATCCACTGGATATGCACTGCCCATCATATTAAGTCTGAAACTTTTCACCCTACTTTCCAGCAGTTCTGATCACATTTGAGGGAAGAGGTTTCCCTTTAGAATCTACCAATTCTGAGATCCCAAGAGGTAAATCTGTTATTTGTTCTGAAAAATATGAATAGGCTACCAATACTGTTTTTTTTTCTACATACATATTTTAAAAGAACAGGTTCTGCTATGTCTGAGTGTCCAATGAGAACAGATATGCCAATTTCTGTGCACATTGATTTTTTTATGCACGTTATAGCTGCTCTGGATTGTGGCCATTGTATATATAATATACACTGATACACATTGGAGTACACACTTATATGGCAATAATTGTGTATGGAAAAAGTTAATTTCTCCATGTATAAGTAAACTTTTAAACAATAATGCATATTTTCCTGAAAGTTTCCTGATGGGCAATCAAGACTGATATTTTTAATGTCAATCCAGCCCAAGATTCTTACAATTATGGCTATTGCATTAAATGCAAATATCTAGGCTGTTTTAAAAAATGTTTGTGTTCATTAACACTTGTTTAAGACAAAGCTAGTTTTCTAGTAGCTCACAGAACATGCATGACCAATATCAAAAAATAAGCAATTCCAGTGTTCAGGTTAGATTTGGAATACATTTCAATCCTCATTCCCCACTGAAGAAGGCTGAATTATAGGCCAAATTTAGAAGGGTTATTAGGACAGTCATATTAGACAAGCCACCTTATATTCATATGATTATACTTGAAGTTCATTATCTAGAAGTCATTAAGCTATGAGCTGCCCCACTTTAAAAACAGCTGTACAATAGGCATCTTGAAGTTTTACAAAAATTATGTAAGAAAAAATGAGCAAGCTAGTCCACTGTATATAAAGGTAAAGGAAATTGCTAAAACCAGACAGTTATAGCTATAAAAGGCACAACTTCCCTTTTCTGATATACAGTTGTAAACTTTCCTCATGTTACATGCATAAATCAAAAATGCTACTTTAACTATACAAAACAATCTATACCAAAACAAAAATCTAGAAAAATTTAACCAGCCAACTGCAGAAACTCCGAGCAGAATGTTGACAATGCAGATTCCAAATTTGACAATGCTGCTTTTGATGCATTCTATACTGCCAGCATGATGGTATATATAGAGGAAAAATTCCAAGCCATACTTCTTTCTTTTTCTTTCTTGTATTCATTCAGTTGAGGTGTCTTCTGAAAGCTAGATCTTGGCCCTCTGTAAACCACATGTAGTGCATAATTACAAAACAAAAAACAAAAATACCTAATATAGGTACAATAACAAAATTAACAAGTCTCTTAGTTTATAAAAAAAGAAGTTATAATTTGACTTTTTTTTTTTCTTAAGGCAACCTTTCTGTATTAAGGCAGTCACTTCTGATGAAATAGGAGCTTCTTGATATTCCCATTTGAATATTTTGGTAACTGATTGCTGATGATTTCTGCCAACATTTCTGGAAACTCAATACTCATGGATTTATCCAAAAATGTTTGGAAGCAAAAAGTTAGAAGATTCTCAACCACCTGTAAATGATAAGAAGGAAGGATGAAGCCAGCTTTCTCTGATACTCTAAAATATTGTAAGCATATTTTACCCCTACATCTTTAATACAGCAAAGATGTTTTGCTAGCCTTGAGTGCTTATGTAAAGGATAGTATTTGATGTATACATATTCACAAACACGCACATGAATAGCAAATAAGAAATGTATTTATATTGAGGTACACAATAAGATGATAAAAGAAAACTGCCTCAATTCAACTATTACATCAAACAAACACAAATGCCCATTAAATACGGAAAGTCTGGACTGAATAGATTCATCATTTGTCTGCATTCCATATTCTCTGGGGGCAGTACATCAAAAATAGGACAATTATTTAGGCATCATGCCAACAATAATCAGAACAAAATAGTTTATCCATCAACTTTAACTTTGGTATCCAATTAACTGGAAACCTTTTTATTTGAAATGCAAATTGTAAAATATAATATAGTAAATTCAGTTCAATGTAATTAATGGTCATAAGAAAATTCAAGAAATTTGCTTTTCTACACTTCCTAGCTTGTTACATTGAGAGGCAGAATAACATGCAATCTAAATATACAATGGGGCAAAAAAGTATTTAGTTAGCCACCAATTTTACAAGTTCTCTCTTAAAAAGACGAGAGAGGCCTGTAATTGTCATCATAGGTAGACCTCAACTATGAGAGACAAAATGAGAAAACAAATCCAGACAATCACATTGTCTGATTTGGAAAGAATTTATTTGCAAATTATGGTGGAAAATAAGCATTTGGTCAATATCAAAAGTTCATCTCAATACTTTGTTATATATCCTTTGTTGGCAATGACAGAGGTCAAACGTTTTCTGTAAGTCTTCACAAGGTTGGCACACACTGTTGCTGGTATGTTGGCACATTCCTCCATGCAGATCTCCTCTAGAGCAGTGATGTTTTGGGGCTGTCGCTGGGCAACACGGACTTTCAACTCCCTCCAAAGGTTTTCTATGGGGTTGAGATCTGGAGACTGGCTAGGCCACTCCAGGACCTTGAAATGCTTCTTAGGAAGCCACTCCTTCGTTGCCCGGGTGGTGTGTTTGGGATCATTGTCATGCTGAAAGACCCAGCCACGTTTCATCTTCAATGCCTTTGCTGATGGAAGGAGGTTTGCACTCAAAATCTCACGATACATGGCCCCATTCATTCTTTCCTGTACACGGATCAGTCGTCCTGGTCCCTTTGCAGAGAAACAGCCCCAAAGCATGATGTTGCCACCCCCAAGCTTCACAGTAGGTATGGTGTTCTTTGGATGCAACTCAGCATTCTCTCTCCTCCATACATGACGAGTTGTGTTTCTACCAAACAGTTCTACTTTGGTTTCATCTGACCATATGACATTCTCCCAATCCTCTTCTGGATCATCCAAATGCTCTCTAGCAAACTTCAGATGGGCCCAGACATGTACTGGCTTAAGCAGGGGGACACGTCTGGCACTGCAGGATCTGAGTCCCTGGCGGCGTAGTGTGTTACTGATGGTAGCCTTTGTTACGTTGATCCCAGCTCTCTGCAGGTCATTCACTAGGTCCCCCCGTGTGGTTCTGGGATTTTTGCTCACCGTTCTTGTGATCATTTTGACCCCACGGGGTGAGATCTTGCGTGGAGCCCCAGATCGAGGGAGATTATCAGTGGTCTTGTATGTCTTCCATTTTCTAATTATTGCTCCCACAGTTGATTTCTTTGCACCAAGCTGCTTGCCTATTGCAGATTCAGTCTTCCCAGCCTGGTGCAGGTCTACAATTTTGTTTCTGGTGTCCTTCGACAGCTCTTTGGTCTTCACCATAGTGGAGTTTGGAGTGTGACTGTTTGAGGTTGTGGACAGATGTCTTTTATACTGATAACAAGTTCAAACAGGTGCTATTAATACAGGTAATGAGTGGATGACAGAGGAGCCTCTTAAAGAAGTTGTTACAGGTCTGTGAGAGCCAGAAATTGTGCTTGTTTGTAGGTGACCAAATACTTATTTTCCACCATAATTTGCAAATAAATTCTTTCCAAATCAGACAATGTGATTGTCTGGATTTGTTTTCTCATTTTGTCTCTCATAGTTGAGGTCTACCTATGATGACAATTACAGGCCTCTCTCATCTTTTTAAGTGGGAGAACTTGCACAATTGGTGGCTGACTAAATACTTTTTTGCCCCACTGTATATTTAAACAGCCTGCAGCTGGTGTTCAACTTCTCAGCAGTGGACTGCTGTTCAATAAAGATTACAATAGTAAATTCTTATAGCTATGCTACATTTACTAATGCTGTGCATTTTAATTATTTTTATACTCACTGAAACAATTAAAACAGGGTAAGACTATGACCTTCCTATTCTTCCTTCAAATACAGTAAAAATACTCTCCACATTTTACTGACTACCCTAAAACAATACATAAATGCATATTAATAAATCTTACATCATGCATGGAGTCCAAAAGTTTTGTCAGTTGGTAAAATCGTTGCCAGTTCTGACTAGAGTTTCCTTCTCTCTTCACAATGGCTTTCCCCAACTCTTTGATGTATGTCATACGAATTTCATCAAAGAGAGCCTGACTCCTCAAGCCCTCTTTCGGAACTGGATTAAGATGACAGAATATTCAATTACATGTTACCATTTTACATTCACAATAACCAATACAACACAAAAATGCCCTGACCTATGCTAACTCAGTGATTATCAGCGAACAACTGCATGGATCATACAAGCATAGTAGATTCATCCTCTGCCTAAAAAAACCAGTGCATTATTGACCAACCTTATATATAGTTAAATACTCTGTAACAATCTGTTTCCAAATATAGTTACTGGTTCTCTCATTTTTACCCCTTCATTCATCAACATATATGTTTCTACTGTATTTTGAAAAATGAATCTCTTTTTCAAAGAATCTCAACAAACCAGCTTCATTATGGGGCAGATTTACTGTCAGGTTCAATTCAATTATGCATTTATTTACAAAAGGAATGGGAAATTTATATTCAGTAAGATATGGTTGGACTTCTCCTGACCCCTGACTTCTGGCTCAGACAATGGGAGTGGTTCAGATAATTAATTTTGAATTTTTTGTGCAATATAACAATCTGTGAAATATATTATATTGGCTATGGTCAAAATTCCACTTACAACAAAATTGGAGTCATCTTAACAACCAAGCACTTTAATAATTTCTGAAAGTAAAGTATTTTCTGTCTGGCAGAAATTCTGCAATCTTAATCATCAATCATAAAATAAACAATTTCAATACACTAGGAAATATATTTATAATGGATTCATTACTCATTCTTACTGATTATCCTTAGACTGGTAAGAATTGAACGGTGATAGGGAAAAAGCACCGCAACATCTATTTGGATTGAAACTAGGATTCATATTTCCCAGATCACTGTTCAATGATGAAGATGGAGTCACAATTTGCAAAATAGATCAAGATTTTTAAAAAAGCAGTAAGGGCAGAAATAACCACTTACTTGTAGAGAGAAGGAGCAATGTTTTCATGCAGAGATATTCTTCATAGGAAACCTGAAGCCGGGCTAACTCATTAGTAACCATCAGTAAACGTTTGCACTGATCATACATGCATGGTAGATTCATTCTCTGCCTGAGGAAAGAGCACACACACATCTGTATCAGTAAAAAGAAACCAATAGATTTTTTTATGGAATCATTTTAACACTCCTGAATATCCCAGAAAGTTGAATAAGTTATATATCTTCAACCTTAATATTTTTGAAGAAAATAGGACATATGGCAATGTACCAATACTCTCTGTACAACTAGTTTGGCTGCCAACTATTTACCATGTTTATAAGCTGTATTTACAAAGGCCTCAAATAGGACTTAAGAGTAAATGTTTCAAATGGACTTTTGACAGCAACTTATATCAACTGGAACTTCTGGACTGCTATCAAGAGCAGGCTCACATCAAACATCTTACAGTAATCTAAACTTGAAATGGCTGGAAGATTTAGTAACTGCAGCAAAAATAGACCAAAAAAGGCTCCTGCTGGCATACCAAATGAATCTGGTCAAAAACTCTCATTATAACCTTCATTTGTTTCTTAAGGTGATAAACTGGAAGTGATCCCTAATGAAGTAAACTTCAGAGGGAGTACAGATAATCTCACCCAGAACAAAGTGATTGCTCTACTTAGATTTCCCTTCCCTCCTCCCAACAATACTTCCATTTTGTTTGAATATTCAGAACAAAAAGATTCTGCTAGACTGTTAGGAGCCTGTATCAGAGTAAAAGCTAGAAAGAAAGATTTGTATCATATTTCAATTAGCTTACTTCTTCCAAACATTACAGCATCACACATGTACTCTAAACAGAATATGACATAGCTTAAATTTCTCCATTTCTCAAAACTGTCTTGCAGTTCTTTGAAATACTGACCACTGATAGTCCTCAGTTACCAACTGCCTTGTTTAGTAACTATTCAAAGTTACAACAGTTGAAAAAAACCCCACCAACTTGCCTATTTATAGCCACTGCAGTGTCCCCGTGTTCCTGTGATCAACAATTGGGGACTTTTAAACGAGATGGTATTTTGACGGTCACAGCATCCTGCAGTCACGTAATCACCTTTTGTATGCCTCACAATCAGCTTCTGACCAACAGCCAACAGAGAAGCTGGCAGTAAAATCGCAAGTCGTGATCACATGATGACCACACTTAATGTATTTGCTTTAACGACAGTAGCAGAAGTGACACTGTAAGTCCAGTGCGGTCACATGAATTTTCACTTAGTGGCCACTGCCTTTAGCATTGGAGTTGCCAGTCCCAATTGTTGTTGGTAAGTGAGGGCTACTTGTATACTGATGGAGAAAGCAAGGAGAGGGTTCAAGGCACACAATGTGCTGAGCCTTCTTAATGTCTATGCAGGTGGAAACTGCTGATGTCTCTCTTAGCTCTGAAGAATGGCAGTCCCTGAATGAGTAGACCATTTGCTCTTCTCATTTTTCTTGAAAGAGCATCCTCAACACTTCCATTCAGAAAAGAGCATCCCAAGTGAAAGAGGATTGTTAGATACTCTTAGGGTAATCTAGAATAAAGGGGGTAGCAGTGTGTGTTCTATTTCATCATAATAAATGTTTTAAATTACTTTTGCTTATATTTTAGTATGGAGAAAATCAACAAGTAAAGAAACTTTTTAAAATTTATCTATCTTCTTTTCAAACTAAACTTAATGCAGGTTAAAATGTTTACTCATTGCTGGTAAAATTGTGTTATGACCGTAAAATTACAGGAGATGTTTACTGAAAAAAAGATCTACATTATCAGTAAGTATTTTTCTTTTTTCTTTTTAAAAATTACTGAAATATATTCTAAGCTTTTGTCTCCATTTTGTAAATTGTTCCAACATGGCTTATGAATTGGTCAGTGGAAAGTAAAATTGATTCCTTTTTTCAGTATCCATTTTTTTTTGCCAATTACATTGCCATTTTTATAGTATGTCAAATCTGCAATGTCATTACAATTTCTCTTTTCCTTTTCTACACACATTTGTTACATTAAAATATTACCAGATTTTCATGCAAACAACATTAGGAACAATATTCAAACCTGTTTGACCACTTTTAATTCCTTAAGAATCCCTAGTTTTTATTTATTTAAAATGTTTAGTTGCCTCCATTTGAGGCAGTTTACAGATTCAATATATTATCACAAAAGCCATGAAAATGGGAAGTGACAAGTTATGCCAGACCTCTTATTCACATAAAAGAAATTGAAATAAGACACCCATTAAGATAAACATCACAGAGGTGGTTTAAGTCCAGATTGTTCTGATTCAAATTTTATGCAGTATGCCACTCTGGTTCCTCACCTATTCATATAGGCTACAGTATTACCTCCTTTTAGAGGAATTTCTGTTTCTCCAGTAAAGCATTATTTTAACTAGCAGTCTATATGCAGTTCTGTGCCTTTTATAGTATAAGTTAATTACCTGAAAAATTATTTGACTAAGTAACAATTTTCAAGGTGCCAAGAAAACTAAAAATCGAATTGGTATTTGTTTTAAAGATAGCCAACTGTATCCTTTTCTTCATGGAACTTCCTTTAAAGACTATTTGAAAGTTGTAATTAGTTACAGCAGCCTTCTGTCAGGAAGCAAAAGTCATTACAGCCACGTACACTGCATTTGTAAGCACTGCATTGGCTTCCAAGTACAATTCAAAATGTTGGTTGCAAAGCATTTCATGGCTCAAGACCAGGTATGTCCAGGATGAGTTTTTGGAAATTTATAGATATGGACAAGGAGTTGTGCCGACCACTGCAAGAAAGTGTAAAGTCATTGTGTTGCTGGAGAAGAATGTGGAGGGCTTGGAGGCACATTTGTCCATATTAAGATTCATCATGAAAGACAAACAGTTTCTGAGAAAGGCAAAGGGATGTCTATAAAAAGAACACAGGAAAGAAGGTGGAAGGAGGAGCCCTGGGAAAGGAGGGTTGACAGCATGTAATATCAATGACCAAGAAAACCAGGAGGCGGTGCCAGTCACTGGAGAATCAATTCAGTTCTTCCCCTGAGGGATGATTCACTTCTGAAGTTTTTCGTTCAACATTCAAGCGAAAGGGAAGGAAAGAAGCTTGGGCTTCCATAGATATGAAGAAACTAATGTCTGTCCTGAAGAGAAAAAGGTGTGTTGGTAGTGAGAAGTGTCTCAATGTTGAAAGGAATGGAGTTAGCAATTGTAGGAGAGATACTAGCTGAGCCATGGAGAGGAGTCAAATAGGGATAGTCTAGAATCCCTACATGGGCACAAGACAGCGAAGTTTGACACACACACACCCAATGCATTTGAACCTTATCTAGTCTCACTCAGGTGCAAACCATTAGTCTGAAAACATTCCTGTGTATAGGCTTGAGCAATAAATCAACTAATTGAATTCTTCATGGGTGGACCTGATTGTTTTGTGCCTGACATCAATCTGCAAATCAAACATGACATCAAAAGAAAAGTGTATTTTCTCCCAGATCTGGGATATGATGAAGAGGCAAACTCAATTAGTTAAATCCCATCCTTCTATTTCATGTTGGAATAAATCATACTTAAGAAAGAGCCTGGAAATATTATGAAAAACTATAAGAAGCTAGGCAGGAAGACAAAAGAATTTGGAGCTCAAGAGGCATTTTAATCCAACTGAAGATCATGGCCCAAGAATGGAACAGGTGTCAATCACTTACTTAAGGAATGGTGTTAACAAGAAAACTTTATACAGTGGAGCAGCCTGCTATTTGGAGTCATGGATGCTCCTCACTGAGATTTTTCAAGGGGATGGTATGAGGACTGTTGCCCTGGATAAAGAGTTCAATTAGAAGTCCAAAGACCTTTCCAGCCTGATGATGGAATTAGTTCACCACAGGAATAACAATAATTAAGATTGTTTAATTATTATTAAACAATAATAATTATATACAGAGAATTGGGATTAGGTTCAAGTATGATAATAGATCAATGCATAGCATTCAGTTCAACACCCACAAACATGTTAGCTTAGCGATAAAAATCCCTACAACCTGCATAATTCTACATAAACTGGTATGTTTTTTCAAGATTTAACATGTTTGAGCAACAGAGACAATCATGATTGTTTTTAAAAGAAGAAACTATATAGGCTATAAAGACCAATAGCAGGAATTGGATTGAATAGATACTTATCTAGCCTCTCCTTCCTTATCTCCTGCAAAGAGAAACTACCTCCTTAAATAATTGGTTCTACTCTTTGACTATCTTATAGTTAAGATGTTTCTTCTACAAATCAGTTGAAATTCACATTCTCATAGCATATCCAATGTCCTGCACTCTGGAATGAATTGAAAACAAATATTCTTGTACTTTGATCTATCTTCATACATTTCTAATCCCTGATCATCTTCATTACTTTCTCTAAACCTGCACCAATTTCTCTGAATCCTGTTTAAAGAGTGATGCCAAGAACTAAACGTATTTCTACAAGCGGATATGATGTAAGTTGTAGCTGTGCAAATTATATGGAGGATACTTTGCATGGGACAAGCCTGTTTGAGTCACTTTTCAAACAGCTGAGGTAATCATATCCTCTTGAAACTTTGGCATTAATGGTCTTCTCAGCTTATCTGCAGGTACAGGAAACGATTTTGCAAAAAATGATAGAGTAGACTCTTTGTCACAAATCCTTTTGAATGTCTTCTAGGAAAGTATAGATGACCTGAAAAGTATTTATGGCAAATCTTTAGGAAAGGGTTATTACCTCAAGAGAGTTACGGTTTGCTTATGCTTCACTGTACTTTCGCACAGACTTATTCTCTTTTGAGTAAAAAGAACAAATTCAAAGCATGCTGTATGACAGCGAGCCAATTACTAGTTTTTAAGAAATTACAATTTAAATAATGCTTTATGCAAATATACATGGTTAGTGGTGAAGAAATATTAAGGGAATGCTCGATTTAACCCAGCCTTTTTTATTTCACAGTTTAAATCAACTTGATTTAAATGAATTTATCCTGATTTTTAAAAAAAGTATTTAAGCTGTGCAGTTACTCAAGAGGCTGGGTGGTGTAGCAAAGAATGTCTGTTGTGGAAGAGCTTGATGTTACCATGGAAAACTTAGTTAGCTTCCAGAATGCAACTGTTTTCACAATAGGTTAAAACACACACAAACACATACACTGTGTTTAGGATCTTTTCATTTTTATTATTTTAGTATTAGCCCTATTTAACATTTATTGCTTTGTCTTTCATTTTTAAATTTTATTTGCTGCCTTGAGTGCTTGCCTGGGTTGAAAGCAAAGTCAGTCAAATAAATAAATATCTGTAAATTACTTCTGTTTTAAAACATTTTTTTTTAACTTTGTAACATTCCTAAAGCCCCGTACTATGTTACTCTGTTTCGATTAGCAATATTAAAGGTGCTACTAATAATTATATTAAACATTATTTATTGTGGGATTCAGAAAGCAAGTTTATTGAGGAAAGGCATGGAAATTTAATACTCTTTACTATAATGAAAACAAGAGTTCCAAGATGTTAAAGTAGGATAAACATATCTACTGTAAAAATGGATAAATCTGTTAATTTTAGTTTCATTCAATCTTTTCAAGGAGTTTTTGCCCCAATCTCATTTCTATTTTTTTTTTTAAAAAATTGTTTTAAAGACTATACAGAAGTCCAAAACAATTTTTAGAACTTGGAGAAGAGCAAATTCCTTAATACCCAAGACTGCAAGACCTCCCTCTAACAGTTGTAGCTATTATCTGCTAGCATGTAGACTGCTACATTTTGAACCAGTTGCAGTTTCTGAGTACTCTTCAAAAACGACCTGTTGAAAAAGCATTGTAGGGGCTTGGAGCTAGCAAAACAGGTGGTTGAGCTTATCTAAAGAGCACTCCATCCACTTCAACCAAATTCATAGGCTGAAATAAACTCCATTTCACATGGCAAGACATTTCCCAATTACCACTTCAGAATTTTTCCATAAAGAAATAAGACTTGAGTGAATTAGAACTCTCTAATTCACTCTGAGAGAGAGGGGGAGGGGGGAGGGGGGGGGGGAGGGAGGGAGGGAGGGAGGAGGGAGAGGGAGAGGGAGAGGGAGAGGGAGAGGGAGAGGGAGAGAGAGAGAGAGAGAGAGAGAGAGAGAGAGAGAGAAAGCAAAAATTACTGGTTCGTGCCATTTCATTCAGATAAAGTTCTCTTGTCCAGTGTCTCATGCCTAACCCATCCCCCCCTTTTACCGCTTGTACAGCAGATTGTTTAAACAAGCTCTCTCTTCCTGAGCTTCTTTTCTCCAGAGCATAGTGCTTTCCTAAAAATGTGCTAACAAAATAACAAGCTCAGCTCTGTGAACCTAACGCACTGACTAGAATAGCAGGCTCACAGTAGCTGCCTGAAACTGACCAGACCTTAATCAGTTTGGTACTGAAGGCTTTTGTTGTAGTAAATGCACTGATTAGTCTGAAAATATTTTTAATTACTAATTATTGCTGGTGTATTTGTGAACAGTAGCTATTTGAGGTACTTGCTAAATGAGGATTACCTGTATTTCTTGTGTACAAAACTACCCAATCAACACAAGAATCTAGGTGGCTAACAGTCAGTGGTACAAAAACAGTAGTAACACATTGAAATAAATGCACAATGCATCATAATATGCCTGAATGAGCCCATAAAATTGACATCCGATCATCATACCAAGATAAACTAGTGTAGCATGTAGCATCCTGATCCAACATGTGGCGGAAAAGCTTTCTGTCCTCCAAATAAGGGTGACAAAAGCTCCAAACAGGAAGTGAAAAAAGCATGAGTGACAATATGTATTTATCTCCTTCATCTTCATGGCTTAGGCTGTATAGCTATTTTGTGACCAAAAAAAGGACCAAACTCAAGAAGACCCAAACTGTCAAACAACTGCAGTTACCTTACATGCTAGTAAGATAAAGCTCAAGATTCTGTCACCCAAATTTCACCAAACCATGGAACAAGAACTACCAGATGTACAAGTTAGATTCTGAAGAGGCAGAAGCACTCAGAGCCACATGGTGAATACCCAATAGTAAAAGTAACAACCACCGATGCCAGAAGCAGAATTCAGGTTATTATTGACCAAATTCTGGAAAATGATGGCCAGTGGCTAGAAGTAATTAAACACCACCTAATTAAAAAAAAACCCACGCAAAATATTTTTATTGATATTGTATTACTTACTCATTAATGATCAAATCTGGAGCAAAACACAGTAGACTTCCATTAGACTGTTTATATGATCTCCATCCTAGAGCAAAAGCCATCAGAAACATCCACGAATACTGCAGTAGAGTCATCTGGTCATCTAGATGCAAGTTTCTGAAGCCTGTTTGAAAATAAAAGTGGAGCCTCTGGACATTATAATTGAAATACTGCTTACCCAAAGTATTGTTTTCATATTCATAATGGTTTCTTAAGAAATTACTTTGTTAAAAGGATTGTTTAAAAACCAAGAGTGGGGAACCTACAGTCTTTGGCCTAATATCAAATGTGCACTGAATAGACAAAGAGTGAAATCAGCCTTTTGAATAAGAGCAATTATTCCTCTGATTTCTTGGGAGAAAGAAGGAAAGAAGGAAGGAAGAGTGATGTTAATATGAGGTTCCCACGGATTATCTTCAAGGTAATGCAAACTATGCCAAAAACAAAGTCACTCCTTCCCCCCCACCCCTTCAACTCTATATTAGGGATTATATCACTTACCTGGTATTGCCTTTGCCCATTTCACTGCAGCAACCACTTGTCTTCCACCTAACATATTGAGAGTTGACATTATGCGCCAAGTTGTGTCTGGTATTGTGCTGTCATAGCCTGAAAACATCACTTCTGGCTCAATGACTTCCAGTAGGGAAACTAGGGTAGGAGTCAGCTGTGGCAGTGTGGCAGGAACTATAGCTTTGTTTGTGGGATTTTCAGCAGTATCCCTTCCTGCAGGCACGCTGGATTGTTGAATTCCTTTTATTTTCTTTTTTGTCTTTCGTGCTAGAACGTTATTAGAAAAGAAAATTTTAAAAAAGCAAAAACATAAAAAATATTCTGTTTCAACACCACGGACATTCAATTGACTTAAAGTTTTATTTGTATGAACAAAAGATGAAGCCAGCAATTATATTTGAAGAGAAACACTGCAATGGGGAGAATTAACGAAGCAAGAAACAAATAAAAATATTTTGTGTCTAGCAGTTTCAATAAGCTCTTCTAATAGTAAATAATTATGAAACAAAATGTAAGGGACAGCATAATCTAACAACATATATGCTGTAGAGCTGGGCATCTTCTATTAAAAAATAAAATTTTGAAACATGAATTATACAAAACTGAAGACTGACTGCTGTATAGTCAAAACTGAAAATTTTCCTTGTCAATTCATAATACTTTACTTAAATCATAGATAAAATGTGCTAGATACACTGCTTAAATTATTGCCTCACAAATAGTGGTCTGTAATTTGTAAAGCAATTATTTCATCAGTATGACTTTTCACTTTTTATGTACGTACTCCTAAAAACAGAATATTAATGCATGAAAGAGCCATCTCTCACTAGACAATTAGATAGGAAGACAGTTCCAATTTTCTATATATGGTGGTGATGTAAATTATATCACAGGAATCACACTGGTATGCACATTTCCCTGATCTAATTATTTCCTCTACCTGGTTATCTGCCAAGCAACAAATACAAAAAGCAAAGAGATGGTCTTTATGTAGTGCCTGTTATTATTCATTGTAAAAGGACCTGCTATTTATTTTGTAATACCAAGAATACATAAAAGTACAAAAGGTCCAACTAATCATCATGACTACTATCTATTAGTTAGATGCCACTCATTCAGGTTCAGCTTTTTGTCTGCATGAGTATACAATTACCATCTTGCCCTCTCTTCAGTAATACTTACTCTCTTCAGTAATACTTTGAATTTCTTACAAAGATGTTCCAATAATCTCTTATGATGGCATACGTGCACTTTATTCAGAGTCAATGTTGTCTTCTTCCCTCAGATTTGACAATTGCATTTCCCCCCCTACTTTATCATTTGGTTATGGTGCATATTCAAAGCACACAAGTTTCTTCTTACAGCGAAGAGTCGGTCTTTATTTGGTCTAGGGCTGCCTGACAAGAGTTTTCTTTTCATCCACGGTATTCTTTCATCATTCTCTTATTCTGTTTCAGGATCCAGCTTTCACAATTGTACACTACTTCTGGAAAGATCATTTTTTAATTACTCTCATCTCTTGGAACATTTTCCTTTCATGATCTTGCCTGAATTTGTCATTGCCTTCATTTTAAGATTAATTTCTATGCTTTCTAGCATGCAGTTTCTTTATTCTTGAGGACAAGAAAATTAAAGCCAGTACTGTACCTACCTTCTCTTCTTTGTTGTAGTCCACAATGTCACTAAGCACACAATATGATATTATTTTTTTATCATTTAATGTTTAATATTACTGTGATTTTTCAACAAATTGTTCCAGTCTTATTACTTTCAACTAACAAAATAGTGTCTGCATATCCCCATTCTTACTGTTTTTTTTAACCAGCAGTTCTCTACTCCCTCTGGCAATTTCTTCTGATCCCATTCTTCTAATTTATTCTCTGTGTAAGTTAAATAAATATGAGGAGAATATGCATCTTTGTTTCACTCCCACCCCTAATTTGAACCATTTCTCCAAATTAAGTACTTATAGTAGCTTCTTTTTTACTGTAATTATTCCTCACAAAAAATATAAATGCATTCTGCCACAATCATTAGTCTTAAAACATTCTACATTCTGGCTTCATCGACAGGGATGTGCTATACTAAGTAATACTCTATTATCCATGTTAAGTTAGCTAAGGCAGTCCTACATTTTCTGAAATCTGTTCATTATTGATTTATTTATCAAATTCCTACATCAGGGATGTTAAGCTGGCAGGCTGGATGCATCACACGCAGGACACGCCCACCCCAGGAAAAAAACATTGTGAAATGTCACGTGACGGCAATGTGACGCTGTGAGTTTGACACCCGTGCTCTACATTGTCCATCTCACCTAAGTGGGCAGCTTACAATTTAGCATTTCTTTCTTCACATCTGGTTCTATTATTTAAGATTTTACAAGTTTCCTTGTGTTAGGAATTAATATAATGGTGCAGTAATTTGTGCATTTCTTACAACTCTTTTCTTTGGTACACACTGAATTTTCCCAGTTGTTAGGCCACAGTCTTGTTCCTTGTTAATATGAAACTGCTGGCAGTTTAACTATTCTTTCTTTTGTAACTTTATTCAATGGGCAATTTCATCTATTCTTGCAACCTTCCTATTTGACAGCTGACTCACTGCTTATTATATTTCACTTTCTAGTAGAAGTGGTCCCAGACTATATTGTTTCACTATTTATAAATATTACTCACATTCAATGCTCCTATCTGTAAAGGGTTTTAATCTTTCCATCTTTATTCTCATTTGCCTCTATTGGTTAACTTCCATGATTACTCTTAAATATTTTTATCTTAATTTTTTTATTTTTTTTTGTATTTCTGTATTTTATATTTTGATAAATTAATAAAAAAATGTGAAAGTGATTTTTCTGATCCCCTTTCTTATTATTTGTTGACATTTTTGATATTATTGTTTCTTATTTGAGATGGAAATTTACATTTAGTCACTGTATCTTTTTATTCCACTAGACTTTTGTTCTATGTCCTATTCTGATTATGAAAACAGGTTGCTGTGAAAGCTACTTGGATCTTTTCTGCTTTGAAATTTTTGATTCCTCTCCCATCCTTCATATTTTTAAGGCATACTCCGTGTGTGTGTGTGTGTGTGTGTGTGTGTGTGTGTGTGTGTGAGAGAGAGAGAGAGAGAGAGAGAGAGAGAGAGAGAGAGAGAGAGAGAGAAAGGGGGGATAACGAGAGAGAGAGAGAGAGGTGTTAAACTACTGAAGTAGGAACTGGGAGTTCTAGTCCTGCCTTAGGCATGAAAACTGTCTGCTTGACGTTGGACCAGTCGCTCAGTCTTAGCCCATAATGTCAGGCTCAGGTGACAAGCTGGTTGGTCAATTCCTGGGGCAACCAATGCTTGGTTGATCTGAAAAAGTTGACCCAAATTTGCAGAAAAAAATGCTAGGAAGAACAAAAGTATTGATTTTTTATTTTTGTGTTTATATTCTCCGTGGAGTATCTTGCTGACACATCTACTATACTGTATTTAATTAACAAGTTTAATCCATACATCTGACATCAACAATTCATGGTCTGTTCCAAAATTGGAAGGGGTTTTGCCAACTGGATTGCATTTTTCCATCATCTGTTTCCTATTATGTAGTCTGTTTGAGTCCAATATTGTCCATGCAGTGACAATGTATTGTGTGTTGTCTATGTAATATAAGGCAAATGTGTTTAGTGTATAGCAGTGATGGTGTAGCTTTTCCTCGAATGCCAAATGCTCAGGTGAGACAGTGTATGCGCGCCTGCCGACACCAATAATGCAATGCCACCCACAGACCGCATCCCCCGCACGTGCATGCATGTGTGACTCCCCGCGCGACCCCCACCCCCACACACGTGACCCCTGTGCTCCCCCCGCAACCCCGTTTTGGTGCTAGCAGGCCTCCCTGAAGCCTCCTGGAACCAAAAACGGAGCACGGGGGTGCACGACACACCCATACATGCGCATGACCCCCTGCACATGCATGTGCGATCCCCCCACCCCCTGCACATGCATGCGTGTCTCCCGGCAGAGACCTGAAAATCAGTTGGCCGGCGGGAGGTGTGCGGGCATGCGTGGTGGAGTTGACCTGGGTGTCGGCTCGTGTGCCTGCAGAGATGGCTCCACGTGCCACCTGTGGCACATGTGCCATAGGTTCGCCATCACAGGTGTATAGTCTATGTAATCCGAGGCAAATGTGTATAGTGTACTCTACATAATCTGAGGCAAATGTTGCTAATAAACAAAAAAATCTTTTTAATAAAATTCTATTATCCCCTACATCATTACATCTAGTCAGCCCATTTTTTTCTTTTGATTCCCCATCTTCTGCCATTCCAACTACCCATACTATAACTAAAACAGTTCCCTGAAGTATTTCTTATAATTTGCCATAATATTTTTCAATGTCTTCCTTCCATAGTAGGTGCATATATTTTCCAGAAACTAAAATTTAATGAATATCCACTAATTTTAATACATACAATACTATAATTTATTTATAATTTATAACCAAGCATATAGCTAGTGGTGGAATGGGTCTCTGACTTGTTTAATGTATGGCTGAAAACTGTATCTGTGTTTGACAACAGGAAGACTGTCATCACACTCATGTCAGAAGCACTGAGGCATTTCCAGGATTAGCCAGTGACATCGCCATTGCCCAGGGGACACTCAGTTGGGGGTTCCTTTCACATTCCACAGCAGCACTCAGGTTTTAACACGGGTTTCCTAATTTCCAACCCAGCCTCCTAATCATGTTAACCACTGTGCCCCTTAACAATGTTATTATTGTGTCCCTATAAAAAAGAGGAAAGGTAGTAAGAGTGAATCTACAAGAAGGTCATTTTATTTTGTCTGATAATAACTCTGGCAGAATGTTGATAAAAAGAGTACCAAAAATGACAACTACCAAAATTTATCTCTTAAGGAATTGATCAGATACGTGTGTGAGTGGCCTTGGGCATGCATTGTTTTTTTGTTTGCTGTTTTACCTGATGTTAGTCACTCAAAGTCACATTTGCAAATTGTGCAATCTTGTAAACTGACTGAAAGACTGATTAAATAAATAAAGCACATTATGATGCTGGGCAGGAAATGTGCAAATGTAACTTCTACTCTTTAGCAAGTCACTAAAGGGTATATGACTGTGAGGAAAAAAATGCATGTTTGCTAAGTTAGAGAAAATCTATGATAAAGTGATTAGGTTACCATTACGGGTACAGAGTAAATAGTTATGGGTATGGAGTTGAAGGTGGGTTATTCAATATGGTGAGACAGAGATACAGTAAGAATCAATGGAATGCCTAGCAACTGGTCCAACACTGAGCAGGGAGTAAGATGAGAATATGTGATATGCCCTGGGTTGCTTGATGTATTTATGGATAATGTACAGTATGAGGAACACATCTGGTGAAATTAGAAGTCTATTTATCCATCCATCAGATTTATATAGCCACTATATCACAATCAAGTAACTGTTGGTAATATGAGTGCATGTATAATCATGCTATGATCTATAGTGACTTGTGTTTGACAGAAAAGTGAACACAGCAACTTATACAGAAAGGATGAAAAACCAGAGCAAGTATATTTTGTCTTATACTCTTAAGTTAACTAAAAATGTTAACTAAAAATGGAGAAATGTATAGAGAAATTTTAAGGTGTAAAAATGAGGGTAGGTAGATAGTGAGTATTATGAAAACTGAGTAGGGAGGAGTGTATCAGCAGAAATTAAACGTTAAATGTAACAGGAATGGATGGAATGGAACAGATATGTTGAATGTAACAGGATATTTAAATATCTGTGCTAAGAGAAGAAGAGATAGGGTTAATAATGAATGGGGGCAGAATGAATGTAGACCGAATAAAAACATTAATTACCATGATGTTGTGGTGATGGTGGCTTTCATAGAGAAAGAGAGAATGAGGACTGAACTGCAAATCGTGTGTGTGTGTGTGTGTGTGTGTGTGTGTGTGTGTGTGTGTGTGTGAAGGAAGAATCAATAGAGAGCAAACAAGGAAATTATGGCTGGGTGAGATTGTTAAGAATCCTTAAAGAGAGAGAATCAAAACAGCAATATATGAAATGGTAGAAATAAAAATGGCCTGCAAAGTCAGGAAATTACCAGTAACATCTACTATTTCAGATGAAATCTAGATTATAATTTTCTATTATATTTCAAATATAAAATATATAATTGCTGCATAGTTTTTTTTTCAGAATAAAATTACTGCACAACTAGAAACATACCAACATATAAACATTATTTTTGGAAACCCAATCATGCCTTTAGCTATGATCTAATGAATTTAGTGAATTTGCCTTTCAGTATTCACATCATAGGACTAGATTCTAAATTTCTTTCTAATAGATATTCACTTTAAATGTTTACTCACTCATGAGCTTTATTTTGTTCTATGCAGCTTGTTCTTAACACAGTTAAGTATAAAGAATACAGGACAAGATCATTAAAAGTTATTCTATGTCTTTCCTGAGAGAGCAGTATTTCAAAAAAATTGAGTTTTGCTATTTTAAATTTCAAAGCACTATGTTAAATAATTAAAAGGTTAAATGACATAGGATTTGTAGTTTCATATATACTGTAAAAGAATTTAGCCGAACATGCAGAATTAACAAAGAACGTACATGCTCCTTCCTTAGTGTGTATATAAATATATGTTTATTTATATCCTGATTTTCTGCTGAGATAAGACTCAAGACAGCTAACCATGTTAAAAAAAACACAATGCAAAATATTAAATTTCATCAATACCATTCTTAACCAATATTTAAAAAGATGGTGAAAGTGCTATATCTTCAAGATTTTTAAAAATCCTGACACAATAGGCATTAAATGAATTCCTGAGAGATTGTACTGTACAGCTTGGAAACGGCATAGGAAAAGGCCATTTCCTGCACACCAGAAGAAAAAAATCTCAGGCAGCAGGGTCATCTTTTAAGAGGGCCTCTTCTGTAGTTCTCAATGAATGGACAGGTTGATAATGAGATAGCATACTGAGTTTTTACACCAACTGCAATTTCTAGACCCATGAAGAGTAAACTGAATATTCCAAATGGACAGGCATAGTTCACTCACTATCTCTAGATCTGATTAAATCAGGAAAAGTTTCTGCCAACTCAACAAATGTAACTGTGCAAAAGTGTACCACCCCAGAGTTCTCAACTGGCTTTTAATGAAGAATTAGGTAAAAATCAAGGAGTATTCCCAGACTATTTTCCAGGGGAATAAACTATTCAAAACAGGCTGAACCTTCACCCCCAGTTCTAGTTTTTTATTTACCAAAAGTAGCATCTTATTTAGATTTCAGTTTCTTCTCTCTCATTATTAAACATAAGTAGTGTTCAGAGGTGTTGATTGCTATCTTATAGCTAGATGGAAAACGGTGATATCGCTAGCATACTGATGGTACCCAATTCCAAAAACTCTGAATGATACCATGACAAAACCGTAGTTTTTTAGAACTCTTCCTCATGTCTGTTTTCCTCCTACCTTCGGTCAGGACAAAAGCACTGCCCTACAACCTATTTTAATTGGATCTTGGCCTCCATTCAATGTAATATGGGGAAGTTTCAGAGAAACGACTGGCAGAATTCCTGCCATCCTCTCCATTCATTTCAGTATAAACACCCAGGGAAAATGGGTGAAACACCCAGAGAAACACCCAGTTGCACATTCAAGAGCAACCTTGCTGATCTAGAATAGCTATCCAGAACATCCATTCCATGTCAGGAATAGAGTTGTGATCCTGCTGCATCACTGTGTAGGGTTTTCTGCAATGGAGTAACTGGTAAAAAAAGGAAGAGTGAATTGACAGTAAGTAGGCAACATTGAGGAAATAAAGAACCGAACATGAGAAGGAGGGGGAGGAGGAAGTAGGGAGATTTAGTGAAATCTCAAGGCGAATCATATGGACAGATACTGAATTTGAAACTCAGCCTTTCTGCAGATTCATTAGTGATTTGGTACTTTATAGACCACCAATACAGAAATAGTATGACTAAAAAAACAAGTGTTTTTGTCAGTTTGGTGTAATAATTAAGGTGGTTGCCTAGAAACCAGGAGACTGGTGATTTTAGTCCTGCCTTAGGCAGGACAACCAGCTGGGTGACCTTAGACCAGTTACTCTTTCAGCCCAACCTACCTCACAGAGTTGTTGTGAAGAAAATAAGCAGAGAAAGGAATATTATGTATTATTATGTATATGCACTGCCCTGAGTTACTGATACAAATAATAAAGGTGGGGGGAAAAAAAACTAATAAATATAAATATTTCTTGCCAACATCTCCATATAAGAAAAAAGGGAAGGATGAAAAAAAATAAAATAAAATTCATCATAATTTTATTTCCCAATCTGTGTAGCTTGCTTAGTGTACTTATACAAAAGAAACAAGTATATGTTAAAACATTTCCTGTTCTTCCACAATTCTCTGAATCTATCGAATTGAATCCTAAGCCTATTTCACTGAAATCCCCAAATTTAAAATTCTAGAAGATGTAACACTGTAACACATTTATTTGTTTATTCAATCAGCATATGCCATACCATGTGTGGAGACTGAGTGGTTTTTAATATTAGTATCAGGACACTAAAAACAAAAATCAATTAATATAACCATAAACTATTAGGCCGATGCACCACCAATCAATCAATTTATTACAGTCTTATACATTCAGAGTAGCACGATTTTGCTTGTCTCAAATATCTTTCTAAATACCCATATTTTTGGCTCCCCAAAAGGATAGTAAGGAAGAATGAATAGGATACGCAAAGTTAAACTGTTCCAAAGGAGTGAAGTCATCATTGAGAACATTTGAGCTGAAGTCACTGAAGATGACATTCCCTAAATTGACCCTCTTTTCCATATTTTATTTGATAGGCAGACTGAATTTGTAGTCTTCTGGTTGAAATTTCAATTCTTACCCAGAGCTAATTGCAGGATGTATTAGTGGTGTCACTAATAGTCACTAAACTTTGGTGCACTTATTATCTACCTGGATGGCTCCATGTTGCACCAGCTGAAACTTTCAACCACATCCCCATGTAGATCATACTGCAATAGCCCAGCTGACAAGGCATGAATAATTGTTAAGAAAATGATCTAAAAGAAAGGTCACAGCTAGTGCAGAAGATGCAATTGTGCAAAGCACATGACCACAGCTTCCACTTGTTACTGTGGCTGGAACTATGAGTCTGGAAGGAGCCTCAAGTTGCAGCTCAGATCTGCCTGGGAAGAACTATTCCATTCAGAGTAAAACTGACTCTCTCCCCACTGACTCAAATTGGTATTAAAGACCACAAAGAGTCCAAAAGAATCTGTATCCTAATCCAGCCAAAGTCCTCAACAGGAGTCATCAATGTGGCATCAATCCTACACTACGCTTGAAATCTAATTGAAAGAGATCCAGATAATCTCTTTCATCCATAACTGTAACTGTAGTCCAAACTATTTTCTCAACAACTTTCAGACCAGTCAGGTAATTTACAGACCAATCAGTGATAATCTAGAACTGTTATCAGCAGGAAACCCAAACTGAAACACATTAACCACCCATTAACCTAACATCCCCACAAAAAAGTGGCTGCTGTTTCTGTAATTAAATTAATAATAACAAAGAGGCTGTTGTACAATTTGACTCGTAAGCTGAATTTGGGGGGTCTTTCAATTAGGCTTTGTTGAAGTAAGGTATTTCTTAAATCACTAAATAATGTCCAAAGCTCGGGGCTGGTGCACATCCTTAACATTAGCAATTTACACAAATAGAAAATCAGGCTACAATTGTTTAGCATAAAAAGAGAACTTCAGTACACAATATGGAAGATGAAGAAAATTTTAAATTATGAATGCAGAAAAAAATGTTCAGTTCTATCAAGAACAAAAACATAAGCAGAATAAATATATACTATAAGCATTACAACACTGTGGTCATTAGTTTAAGCATCTTGGTGTATTATTCCTGCAAACAGTTTTTACGTCTGAATAGGGGCTAAAAACTCATGAAACTTGGCCTAACCTGATAAATATGGTATGCAGTATCCTAAAAGTCAACATAAGATGCATGGATGTCTCAACAATGAAAATTCAATATACATAAATCATCTAAGTGGATTTGGTGAAGAATTCATGAACAGTACCAATACGACTAGAGCACTGAACAGAGCGCATACCTGGTTTAAAAAAATTCAAGTAGAAAGAAAAGAAAAGTAATACCTACAATCCTCGCCTGTCTGAGCAGTAACAAAAGAAAGTATTAGAATTTACCTTCAAGGTTCATTCCAGCTTGAAGACATTTCCGGTAACGACAAGCAGGGCAGTTCTTTCTCCGAATTTTATCAATAATACAATCATTTCTTCCAGCACAGAGATAATTGTGCTGTCCTGCATTTAAAAAGAACAGAAATTATAATTAGAAACAAATATAAATGCTCTCAAATGAGAAAAGGAAAGAAGATGCAGCATGCATATTATCCATCCAAATGATACATTCATAAATTCCTTCAATCAAGCTTTAATGTTTGCTGAAATTCAATGTTTGCTGAATGGAATCTAGTACTAAAAGTAATTCAATTTCAAGGGTAAAAATCAAAATAAAAAAAGCTAGGCACACCACAGAAACTAAGATTTATTATTTCTTTATTAATTAATTTGTAATATGATAGCTTAGTGATAATATACTGAGAATTAAAAATTTAGGGGCTGCTTTAAAAACATATATTTAACTGACCCACATATTGAAAATAAAATATTGTTCAAACCATTGCAAGTAAACAATTGAGCAGGGGCAAAAAACTCTACTAGACTGGTGTTTCATGTATTTCTCTCTTCTGGATCTGACCCAGCTTAATTGTATTACTGAATAGAGGAAAAGCCAAAAAGAACTCCTTTATATATGAAATTTACAATTATAACATTCATTTCTTTATTATTTTATAAAGGCTTATAGAGATTGCCCAATATTGTTCTATATGTACATGTAGTTCTTGAATTACAACCAAAGTTTGGAGTGGAATTTCCATCATACGTTGTTATGACAAATGTTACAACTGGTCATTAAGTGAATTGCTGCAGTCATTAAGTGAATTGCATGGTCATTAAGTGAATCCAGATTTCCAAATGGACATTTTTGCCAGAAAAGGCCAAAAACAAGCTGCAAATCGTGATTGTAACTGATAGTAAATGTGTGCTGATTGCCAAAGGCCTGGATTGTGATCAAATGACCATAGGGATGAGGCAATCAGGTTACTTTTTCAGAACTTTGAACTGTCATTACATGATTGATCATAAACTAAAAACTACCAGCATTTCTCAACATAAGAAAATATAATTACAATTTTGTATGTAATTACTTTTACTTAATATTTACATATTATTTGTATATGTGATGAAAGTATCACATCATCATTCATGATTATGGCTGTTTTGTGTTCCTTGCAGTACTTAGATTAAAGTTTTCTTCTCTTTTCTTATATTGATTGTTAACAGATGTTTTACAAAAAAGCTTTTGTTAGCATAGAAGTTAAAAACCTTTTGTCAAACACACATAGGGACCAGCAAATTGTGTCCATACTTGGCACTCCTGTATTCTTAAGTATAAACAGAATATATTTCTTTTCTTCCCGTGAATGATTGCAACCTCCTTCCCTTTCATGCATACAATTAAGGAAAAGGACATATCAATAGGTAAAGTAAATTCTGCATATATCAGTCTCATCTCTCTAATCACATTCCATCTTTGACATATGGACCAAAGTTTCCAAGCCTGCACAATCTGTTTTGTAAAATTTACTACAATATGGATCTATGGTAACCACATAAAATATGCCCCCCCCCCCAAAAAAAGAAACCTGGCTCAGAGATTAGAACTTATTACCATTTGCATCTTTTTTAGTCTTGCCAATATTGTGTCCTTTAACATCCAGAATTCTCAGAAATAGCCATCCTATCTTGGAATTCTAGACTCTGCAGTCCATGAATGTGTGTATGTGTGTGTGTGCGTCTGTATTTTGAGTCAGCACTAAACTTCTGGAGACTGCCTGCGCTAGTATCTGTAGTTTTCTTGGAAAGATTTTAGAAAAGAATTTCCATGGCCTTCTTCCTAGGGCTGAGAAAGAGTGACTTGCCGAAAGTCACACAGTTGGCTTCCTGCCTAAGGCAAGACCAGATCTTGAAATGGGAGATCTCTCAGTCTCCCCGATTCTAGCATGATGTCTTTAACTACTACACCAAATTGTAGACAAATGAAGGCAAGACTCTCCCAAATTGAGAACACTGACCTAAGCAACAGGCAAGTAAACTATATGAAGCAAGAAGAATTATTAACATCAAATTCATCCTCACATATGGCCAGCACAGTGAAATAGTCCATGATATTTTACTACAATTGCTATTTTTAAGGGTAGCAAGCTTAAAATATAATCAATTGCTTAAACTCGATTTTAAAACTAGGAACATTGAGACTCTAAGTTAAGTAACTTTTTGGGAGACTTTTTTTCGAATGTACATTATTTCTTCAACTATATATGTTCTTTAAGATGAGCACATTACAGTTTTACTCAATTATTCTTTACCAGCTGCTCCAGGAAAAGAATACTGCTGGATGAAGAGAGCAAAGACAGTACTGTGGAAGAAACTCTGCATGCACCAAGACAGGGATGATCAAAACCCATACTGAATGAGACCAGTGCAACTAGATATGCATTACTCATCCAAAGGATATGAGGCCATTAGGAACAACAGAAAAGGAAGAAGAAAAATTGTCAGAGGGATGCAGAATGGGAATATACAAAGTACCATATTCCTCCCCTTCATCCCCTCCTGCTTTTTTAGCAGTCTAATTTAGTTTTTTTGTTTTTGTTTTAATTTGATTTATATGCCGCCCTTCTCCGGAGACTCAGGGCGGCTTACAATGCGTTAAGCAATAGCCTTCATACTTTTGTATATTTATACAAAGTCAGCTTATTGCCCCCACAAACTGGGTCCTCATTTCACCTACCTTAGAAAGGATGGAAGGCTGAGTCAACCTTGAGCCTTGGAGAGATTCGAACCAGCAGTAAATTGCAGGCAGCTGTGTTAATAACAGGGTGCGTAGACAACTGTACTATCAAGGCACTACTTTTGTAGTGTAATATGCCTCCAGATATCTGAATTGATTTTATTTATTTGCACCCCGCCTTTATTGTTTTTACAAATAACTCAAGGCAGTGGAAATACATAACACACCTTCCTCCTCCTGTTTCGCCTGCAACAGCCACCCTATGAGATGGGTTGGGCTGAGAGACAGTGACTGTTCTAAAGTCACCCAGCTGTCTTTCATGGCTAAGGCAGGACTTGAACTCATGTTCTCCCACTTTCTAGCATGGTGTCCTAAACACTAGGCCAAACTGGCCCCCCAGTTTGATACTGGTTTTTTATTGGAGGCTGGCAATTTAATTCTCTGGAGGATTCTTTAGGAGTGACAGTAAAAGAACTTGGGAATTTTTCATTACTTCTTTAAAATTTGGGTTTTGATTTATTGCCATGAAAAATAATTGGTTAAATGAAAAATATTTAATGAGTATGCATGTGCATGCTCATCCATATATATGTAATTTCAACTGGTTTTCTAATAGTCCTGCATTGCCTCTCCAACATACAACTTATTAGAATAAGAGCAAAATTGTATTTTTATAACTATGGAAAAATTCAATTTAAGATATCTATCAGTATCTTTTTCTCAGGAAAGGAATGATGCATTATGTGTTTTTTTTTAAGCTTACATGAAGCTGAAAATGCTTCAGTAAGCTACTAGCATGGCCAGTTTGAGAAATCTAGTTTTGAAATGCTGCTTTAAAATATATTGATTTTACTACTTTAAAAGAGCAGGGAGGAAACTATTTGGGTTTTGGAGTGTATGAAGTGGGCAAACTAAAACCTTTGGAATTTTTATGGAACCAGAGATTTAAGTATAAGCAAATTTTGGCAGCAAACTAAATCTAACTATAGCTTTTAAAGACCAGATTCTTTCCAAATTGAATTATGCAGCAGTATTAAACAAGAGCAAAAATAACAAAAATAAGAGAAAGCAATGAATGATAACAGACCTCTTTTTATCAGGGTCAGAATAACAAGAGTTGGGAGGGACCTTGGAGGTCTTCTAGTCCAACCCTTGCTCAAGCAGGTAGCCCTATATTATGGGTGTCAAACTCATGGCGTCATGCTGCTGTCACATGATGTTTCACGACGTTTTTCTCATTTGTGGAGCTGGGGTGGGTGTGGCCTGCACTTGATGCATCCAGCCCTTGGGCCGCTAGTTTGACACCCCTGCCGTATACCATTTCAGACAAATGGTTGCCAAATCTCTTCTTAAAAACCTCCACTTTTGAAGACCCACAACTTCTGGAGGCAAGTTTGAAACAATTAATTGTTTTCCCTATCAGGAAATTTCTTCTTAGTTCTAGGTTGGTCCTTTCCTTGATTAATTTCCATCCACTGTCACATAAGCTTAGAGAACAATAATGATTTCTTAAAAATAAAGGGAGGGAGGTAAGGTATTATCTCTCAACATCACAGTGAAAGCTGGTCAAGTAGATTAGGGAAAACTGACAGAGAAGGGATATTGGAGATTCTATAATGTAAAAACAAACCATTCTTTCCCAATTCAGTTTAAAGATTGATTAGAGGGCATAAGCCTGTTCAGCTTCTTCTTCTGAAGATTTCTGGACAAAATACCGCAAACAAAGCAGCATGATAGATTCATAATTTGGAGGTCCAAAACATCAGTCAAACCTTCTCTCAATCTTCTGTATATTGCTCCACCTTGCTTCAACACTACTCCACAGAGTTGCCTTCTCTGCATGCACAAACGTGACTAGAAGACTGTAGACGGGTTGCAAAATAGATACAGGGAAGCTTTAAGCAGCTGCATTATGCTACAGTACTACTGTAGTTTTCCTGCATGATTTCTCTTGCTACTTTTTGTTTGAATTAGAATCCTTGTCTACTTTTATAATAAGCTAGTACTTCCTCAAGAAAAAATAGTTGTACTGAGATTATGGATTTGGAAGAAAACATTAATTACTTATACAATAAAATCCTAATGACTCAGATTGTAATAATCATATTGCTTCTTACCTTCCACAGCTCTTTTGAAGAATACTTTGCAGCTGCCACATGTCAGGACACCATAATGACACCCAGAAGCCTCATCTGAGCAAACAAGGCAAAGCTTGGGAGGTGGTCCCGTAGTTGCTGAAGAGGTAGATGGTGAACTGCTCACATCAGATCTTACTCCAGGGCTAAATAAATATTTCAAATAAAATTACATTTCAAAAAGGAATCCCAACACAAGAAAAGTTATATGAATATTTCCTAAATTTATTTTTCTTTTTTGTTCTGGGATCAAAAGGCAGTTCAGAAATAATAAGTTTATAAAATAAATATATTTTATTTCTATTTATTTCTGAATTAGAAAGGAAATTTGCTAGGATTTTTATCTTAACAAATACTGTTAGAATATCAGCTAGAATCTACCCAAGACAGCTTTAATCTTTTAAAAGCATTGTCTTGAGGCCATTAGGAACAACAGAATGCTTCAATATGTACATATGATACTTTCAGAGAGATAAAACCACAATACTTTCTTGAGGAGGAAGCATTACATAATTACTGGCACAGGAACAACTGGAACTGAGCTGGTTGTTGAAAGAAGTTAGAAATTCTGATGCAATCATTTCCATTAAATGAAAGTTAACATCAAAGTTATACAGCAACCTGGGTATTTATTTCTGAGACATTTGCTCTGAGTTAGAAACCAGATTCAATGACCTTCTAAATTGCAGTGGCCAAAATACCCCCATCACTGATCATAATAGCTTAAGCTTCTCAAAGCTATAAAGCATATCTGGGGAGCCATGTTTTCTACATGTCTCACTCCACTTTAAATAATAACATGATTGAAATTACTTTAAAATACAATACTTTCATATGATTTCAGAAAACATGTAGGAAAACCATGTCAATTTAAGAATTATATCCATTCAAATAAGTAAATAAAGAATAATACTTTTTAACCAAAATTTTAATAATTTCCTAATTTTAAATTATTGCAGTTAATGAACAGGGGAGAATGGAAAGGGTAAAATTACTTTCTTATTTTATGTTCTTATAAGTTACTTTGCACTTCCTTTTGAGATAGTATTTTTTTTTCTGTACTTCTATAATTTCATAGGATAGTTACAGGACTACACGTAGTTCTCAATTTACAACAGCAATAGCACTTAAGACTTCTATACCACTTCATAGTATTTTACAGAAGTTTATAGAGTCAGCATATTGCGTCCAACAATCTGGGTCCTCATTTTACCGATCTCAGAAGGAGGGAAGGCTGAGTCAACCTTGAGCTGGTGAGAATTGAACTGTCAAACTGCTGGCAGTCAGCAGTCTGTAGTGCTGAATTCTAACCAATGCGCCACCACGGCTTACAACCACAATTGAGCCCCAAATTCCTGCTGTTAAGCGAGACATTTGTTAGGTGAGTTTTACCCCATATACAACCTTTCTTATCACAGTTGTTAAGTTAATCACCAATGTTGTGAAATTAGTAATGAAGTTGTGAAGTAAATCTGGCTTCTCCATTGAATTTGCTTGCCAGGAGGTTGCAAAAGGTGATCACATGACCCCGGGACACTGCAACTGTCACAAGTCAATTGCCAAGCATTTGAATTTGATCACATGACCATGGGGATGCTGCAACTATTGTAAGTGTGAAAAAAATCATAAATCACTTTTTTCAGTGCTGTTGTAACTTTGGGTGGTCACTAAATGACTGTTGTAAGTCGAGGGCTACCTGTATAATGTTGAAAGCAAAAAGAATCAGGATTGGAGTGCCAGATCTAAGCAATTACTGTCAGTCATAAGAAAAGCTATCTATAGTTAAAATTACAGGCAGAAAAGTGATTTAGAAATAAATATTTTTGATTTTTCAGAAACATTATAAATTCTATGACTTTTCTTAATTATAAATTAAGCTGAAAAAAATGAACTTTATTTGGGTTTGAGCTCCAAAAATTACTTTTTCTTAATGGCCTATGTAACCCTTTCCTCTATCACATTAATCAACAACACAGATTCTTTTCTACCTAAACCTTCATATCCCTACCTTAATACAGTATTACAGATCAAATATATGAGCACGAGCTTCTACGGTTTATTATCACAAACAAGGTCAATAATAAGGTTATTAATAAGGTTTACCTTAGCTCACCAAAACAAGGTTATTATGACAGTTTACAAAATATCCCCATAAATACCACCCAGAATATCTCAAGTTTATTTCTGAGATCCTAAAGTAAACTAGGAAACATTACAGGTAGTTTTTTTTGTTAACAACAGTAATTGGGACTAGAATTTCTGTCACTACATGATGCGGTTGCCCAATGCAATGTCACATAAATACATTGCTTAGCCACCGCAATTCCAGCAGTCCCCACAGCCATTGTTAAGCAATGACTTCCTCATGACTTCCTATAGGCTTCCAATAAGTTAAGTCAATGGGGAATTAGAGGCTTGGGGTGGCTGGTACTGGAGTGGGAGAACACATAAGCAGCTATACCAGCCTAATGCAAAGCTGCAGCTGTCCCTGGAGAGCAGTATGGTATGCAAGACCCAACCACCCCAAGCCAACTGCACAGCAGGAAGACCCAGCCACACTGCCCTCGCCAACCTACACTCCATGGATTTTGTGTTCAGAGGGCTCTTCTTCTTGCTGATGAGGTGTGCCCAGTCTTGCCCTTTGCAAGGCACTGCTGGCTATGTAAGACCTTTTTTCCTGAGGTCTCGCAAGGAAACTGAAGAACCAGACCAGGTACACCACATCAGCTTGTGGGAGCAAAAAGATGGTGAAAGTCATCTGGGGGCAATAGAGCGCAAGGTAGAAGGGGGACAAAAGGGCAGAAATGGGGTGGGGGACTGAAGTGCCCCTGCAGTTCTAAAGTGGCCTTCAAAGACCTGAATTTTGATCAGGCATTTTGGGCACTCCAACTTTGGCGGATTGGGTGTAAATATCACTTATTTAGCATTGTCGTAACTTCAAATTGGTAGCTGAATGAATGGATGTTAAGCAAGGATTTCCTGTAGTTTTAAGCAGCAGTCAATGTAACAGAGAAAGACATGATGCAAAATTTAGCTGTGTAGAAATGCTTAAATTATGGTTTGATAACATGCAACATACACGATACCTTGAGGTTCAGAATGTTACAGTGAGAGAAACTGGAGCTCAAACATACATACACATCAGATTTCAGGGAGCCAATTGCAACAAGCCTAGAGAAACATTAGTCAGGATCTCATGCACCAAAATTGTCAGATCAATTAGAGCACAGGAAATTGAGAGCTTTTCAGAAATAAGATAACTGAAAGTGCATTCACTCGCCATTCCGATGAGAAGAAAAAGAGGAGTGGGGCAGCTGAGAAAATAGCTAGGGATGTATAGGAAGTTCTGACTGAGTTAAAGAGACATTTAGAGGAAATGGAAGATGGGCTTATGAGCAAATAGCTAAGGAACGAAAAAAAATCACAAAGGTTAAAACACAAATTATGCATGTGTTTTAATTATGTCTAACAGTCAAAGGAACTGATGGATCCACTATTTGGGAAGGTTAGTAAGATAATTATAGATGACAAGGAGAAACAAAGGTCTTTTTATTCTTTTCCTCCAAAGGGCCATGTGTTCAAATAGACCAAAGTAGAATAAATAACATAAGGAAAGAATGACAACCCAAAGTAAGTAAAAAGATGGTTAGGAATACAACTTTAAGTTCAAGGACCAGATCAATTATATCTATGACTCCTGAAGGAGCTTGAGAATATCATTTTAGGAGCCACTTTCCTTGCCTGAGGGCAGGCATAGCACCATAGTACTGGACAAGGAAGTGGCAAGGAGGAGGAGCGAGGAAGAAACAGAGGATAAAAGGGCTGTACATCTCCAGAAGCACAAGGAAAGATATAGGGTACAGAATGACAAGAAAAGGAGGAAAGGAAAGATCAATTTGAGAATATGTTGCAAATACGAAGTACTGTGAGAATTCCTCAAAATGACAATACCCTACTTCAACTACAAGCCCTCAACAGAGAATGGGTATACTCCAGAAAGATGGAAATCAATGTGGGAGTGTTAAGATACTAGAGAAATGATTGTGACAATGAAACTCATACACTGTGTCCCCTCAACTAACACAGCTTTGAATATATACATTTTTTTCTTCTTGGAGAGAACGGCTGGTATCATCAGCTCCAAATGACAAACAAGACATTAATGGCAATGCATCACTATGCATATTGAATAATGAACTCATGAGTTTAATAACCTTCTAAGAGAAGGATGTGTATTTCAACACTATGTGGTTGACAAAGCTGCTAAGAATGAAGGTGAGAGGCTGAGTTACATATGAATGAATCAAGCAACCTTGAGATCAACAACATACAGAGGCCTGACTGATGCATTGAAGGATAATGATTTTAGAAACATCGGAAGGTGCATCATCCTCTCTTCAACCTTTGCTGGTGGACCATAATATATGATGGAATAATGTCAAGATTCCAAGATGTATATATGGAAGTACGGCAATGCTCCATTTTTCATTACAATGACATGCAATCCAAATTGGCCAGAAATATAACAGAAACTTTTTTTAATCAGCAGTCAAATGATCAGCCAAAATTAATTGCAAGAGTATTCTATTTGAAGAGAAAGTGCGATAAATCAAAACGTGAGTGATCTGACACCATCTAAATGCCAGACAAATCAAACTCAGGTTTCTTTAGCTAGACTGAGTGAAAAAGACTGAAGCTCAACCGAGCATAGGAGGCGTGGTCAAAGAATGAAAAAAAAAATACACTTAAGTCTCTGGCAAATAGATGAGAGATGACCCACGCATGGATTATACGAGCAGCACACTGGAAAGCATGTAAAATATTGGTGTGTTTAAAAATGACATTGTCATGATTCCAAGAATTATGCTTAATATTCAGAAGGGGAAGATATCCCTCTTTCAGGGACACAGTTTCCAATACAGTCATGTAGAACGGACGTTGGCTTACCTGAACGTTCATTTTCAGGGCGCTGCGACAATAATCCATGCATGGGTTAATCTCTCATCTATTTGCTCGAGACTGATTATAATTTTTTTTCAATTCCTTGATCACGCCTCCTGTGCTCCATTGTCTTTAGTCTTTTTCATGAAAGCGCAGTCCACAAGAGAATCTGCAGGAGAAAGAACAGAAGAAATCCACCCCGGCC